TTATTAATTTCTATGCAGTAGTTTTTGAGTAATGAATAAATAAAAAATTCCAAAATTTTTTGCACTACACTGTAATTGAATATATATAACTCAATAAATAAACATGTGCTGTTAGCACTCTTTACCTAAAAAAAATAATAATAAATAAAATATAGATCATTAATAAATGAAATTTTATTGAATTTGAAAAAGTAAATACAATTTGTATTTATAAAGTATCACATAACAATGTGGTTAAGAAATACAATTGCTTGTTACATGGTATAAAAAAGAAACATATAGATATAAGAAATTAAAAGTGATTCTTGTTAAAGAATTTATTAATAACTTTGATATTTTACTATAGAGAAATAAAAATATATAGTATATGTAATATTTAGTTTTTATAATCAACTTTGCAAATTATTATTAAGAAATATATTTTAATCATTTATATACTACTATAGCATGTTGAGTTACCATTTTTAAGAGAATGGAAAATGTACCTCACCATGCTAGTTTACACCACTTTTCCAGTGCATAGCTCGCACCGGAGTGATCCGAATGCCATGAATATTTAGATACCAAAACTTTGTATGCAAAATTCGATTAGAGACATGCTTATTTGACCAAGTCGTTAATTATTATCGAGGTAATTTTTTTATTAATGAACGGGTTGATTTTTTTTTTCTTACATTTTGATCTCTATTTAAAATTTTAATTCTGATCAACACAAATATGTCATAATGGTTAAAAAGGAATAAAGGGTCAGAAAATACAAAAAATCCAAAAAAAGAAGATAACACATTTAATACGCGACCACATTTTTTGGCAATGCCATCATTTTTCCCGCGCATCGCAATTAGAATAAATTTTCTATCCTTAAAAATATTCAAGTTCTTGGAAATTGTTGTCATATCGATACCCTTAGAAAGCTTTTATGGCATTTTCCATTATTTGGTCCAGTTCCTGAAAAAAAATTTTTTGTCAAAAAAACATGAGAACTCTTTGATGGAATGAAGAGTAAGCTCTTACCTGTTCCAATTCGTCCAATTCATTATTAACGCCTTCATACACCTCTTTAATTTCCTCTCTAATTTCTATAGTTCCGATTATCTCCAAAATCTTTTCTGGATCATCATTTATGTACCATCCACTTTGTCGCCTTTCCTTAACCTCAATTATATCCACTCTCGATCTCACTAATATCAGCAACTCTTGCAGCCCCAAATTATCCGAAAGTATCCAATTACCGTCCAGCACTGGTGAATGCCCTTGTGTTGATGTGCTTGATGTAGCAACTGAGTTAAGTGAGCTGTTTGATCCAATAGAATTATTCGATGTGGCGGAAGATGAACGTTTTCGTGTTCTTTGAATTGTATTTGGTGGATGTCGACCGCGTGGGGATTGCAGTTCCTCTGTTGTTGAGTGCAAATTTTTTAAATGCGGTGGATATAGCTCTGGTTCTTCCGGTATGACTTCAATGAGACTCAATCTTGAGCTAATTCTGGTACGATTCTGTGATCTTGGAGAAAGTGGCGGTGGAGAAGGTTCTTGCCCTTGATTCTGTGATTGATTCAAGGGAGCAGTAAGCTTAGGTACTGATTTCGTTCCATATTGTCCTTTTTGAACTTTACGCAATACACGCTCAATCCTTTCTTCTAAGGATTGAACATCATTTT